AATCAAGGAAAATACTTGAATTATTTGACTAAAAAGAGATGATGTTAAAATTGTTTTGCGACAGGCCCACTATCTTTTCAACCAGGTTTTCAGTAATGGTACCAACATTCATACCCCCGCCTTCATCTTCAATGACCATTCAGGAACCATCAAGAGAACGGTGGAATATTTTTAAAATATGGAACAGTAGAGAGGAAAGCTGGTACAGAAAGCCACAATAGGAAGAGGGATCATCATTTCAATTTAGTGTTAAATACATTCTTATTGCTCAATGTAGAGTCCAATAGTCTCATGAAAACATCGGAGAATTCCAGTAAGATATCTTTAATCATTTCTAAGATACAATGGTTCAAATCTTAATCTAACAATTGGACAATTTTGCTTTTGCACGATTTGAACAATTTTGCTGTTACACCGGTTATCATATATTATTCTCTGTGTGTGACACGGGAATATATGTATATATAGTTTTGTGTGCGTCTTTGTGGTACAAAAATCTCTTTAAGACCAAAGCATTTTTGTCACTCCTTTTTCATTTTACCCATTCTAGTCTGTCCGTGGAAGACGGTGTTATTATATCACTGATATAATAATGCTCATAATGGGGGAAATGTCAATGGGAGAATAAATCTTTCTTCCATAGCTCCCTCGTGTTATACTGGTGACCGAAGACGCGATATTATTTTACCCGACAAGTAATATCATCATCCATTAAATGTACTCCGATCTCTATTGAATATCTATGCGAGTGGAACTGTATGCGTACTTCAAAAAGTCAGGATGATCTCTCCTCTGGCCGAGCCTCGGTGGCTCAGATTGGAAGGACTGGCATAAGATATTCAATACGTCAAAAAACAAACTAGAAACGTTTCACTATCACCTAGCACTTAACTTTCAGCTATTTAGATGCTCGTTATCTTGATCGCCTATTGGAATTCACGCTCAGCCCAGTGGAATACATATATCCGATCTAGTGCTAAAGGTGCTGGTAAAATCTTTGGTTAATTGTACCACTCCAGTAAGTATCTGACTCCGCCTGGTCTGCGTCTGTCTATATTTCTGAGATATTGATTTATGATCTATTTGTAATTCGGACTATTATCCTCATCTTTGTCAAAACGTATTACAACGTTTCGGTCGTTGTACTCTCCGACCGAAACGTTGTGATAAATATGGCGACAAAGATGAGGATAATAGTCCGAATAACGTAAATAATGTCCGCCTGGTCTATTAAAAAAAAAATGCATCGGCCAAAAAATTGCCGTATTGCTGGCATATCAGGTTTGAGACTGTCCAGTCCTCACTTGCCTGTCTTGATAGATTTCAGTGGCGTTTAAGCGACCTTGGGTGTGATTAATTATTTTCTAATCTACAACTCCTTTTCCATGGATGAAACGATACAAACTTTCCTATACTCGACTTGATGTGTGTTTTGGTTTTCTTTTTATAGCACCAGTCCCGATATTTTTTGATCACACCTCGTATAATATTGGAAATATTTTAGCGAATACGGGGAAGATTTTTCCACACTCGAATACGTGGGCAAACGATAAAATATATGAAAAAAAATGTTTCATAAAATTTAACTCGGAGCTTGCGTCTTGAGACGTCAAAATCAAACAAGTACTGAAGTTGAAATACATGTGGAATCTTGTGAACAATTGTAGAAATATTCAATAGATTTCAGTAACGTCACCAAAAATCTTAATTCTGTGCAAACAATGGCTCACACAGAAAAAAGACTCATTTTTGCGTACAAACTAGGCTTCAGATTAAAATTTACCCATTAGCATTTATTAGCCAATCAGAGACCCTATCCCAAACGCCAACAAAGCCTTCAAATTTCAGACAATCATTCTTATTGACTACTACAAAAATTGAGAGATGACTTCAGAAAGTATTTCCTTCCTAAATATAGATATTTAAAAATTTAGAGCAAATATTTATTAACCAATAAATTTCTGAGTTTAGTAAATCTAACATTATCTTACTTGATCCATCTATTTTCTTATAAATATTCGGAAATTCACAAATTCACTTGTAGGTTATTTCGGTAAACATTTGACCAGGGTTGTTGTTGTGCACAATATGATTACACTTTTTTTATAATTAGTTACACAACCTTTCAAATAATTGTTGAGTATTTCGTTTCGCAAAAAGATTCTCTGTTAAAATGTACATTATACATTATATTTTTATACATATGAAATATACGAACGGAGTTATGTAAACAACCTAATATTATTAGTAGTAACAACACAGCACTCATTCACTCACTGCTAACTGATTAATAATTACAAGCATACATCAAACAGCGTAAATACGTAATTCTCTCATTAAGTTTGAGAATTTAGCTTTTCCATCATATTAACGCAATTATTTCTGTTATGTTGTAAAAAATCAAAAATAAAATATTTTAGGAAACTCTATTTGTGAAAATCTTTTTAATTCGTTTCTTTCAACTTCAAAGAAAACAAATACTCAGTAATAAAATGTATTTAAATATGTACAGCTGTGTTTGTAGATTATTTTTTCTTCGCCTTTCCCACGCTTTTTCCTCTACACACATATGTTATGTTGGGAAATACCTGCAAGCCATATCACTGTTGAACCCAAGACATTGTAGCCGAATCAGTTCGCATGCCATTTGATGGTAGTGTTAACATGAAGCAACAAATAAACTTGACTAAGAGTTTGGCGTACTGGGCTCTGTGAGTGCTGAAGAATCGCCGACGTGTCTTAGCGACCGTTTGCAGAATACATCAACTAGCAACCGTAGCAGACTTGCAGACTCGAAAACAAGCAGTTACCTATCACACAAAAGCACATACACACACACACTATATATATATATATATATATATATATATATATATATATATATCGAAGTATAAGGTAGGTTAACCCCAATGTCCAAACATATTTTGAAAAGTGTTCAATACAGATTAGAGCTTTATAATTGTTGTAGTAAAGAAAAGACTGTCTGATAGTAGCAACAGCAATAGATTTCTTCCGTTTCTCGGCCGCAACACTTGTAGCCAAATCGCAGTTCAAACGATAGCCCGTCGTAACAGTCCAACAAGCAAAGTAGAAATGACAAAATGGGGTCACATGTTCAACCTTCACTTCTCGCCAACAACAACGCATGTTATTTTTACAGCTCAAAAAATCATCTCCTTTTATAAGCGAAAAAAACAACGACTTCTGTTCATTTTGAGAGAATTTTCTGATTGGTCACGCCATTCAGGGAGGAAAGAACATTAGCAGAATTCTAGTCATTGATGTAGATTTTTGCTGACTACTTTTTGGTAATTTTTCTTCGACAGATCGCACACAAAACACAAACTTTTTTCTGGGGTAACTGATTATCCCTTTCACTACAATAATATCTAATAACAATTATAACAAAAACATGTTATAAACCGCTACATAAACGCATCATATTTCAGCACTGTAGGTTCTTCTTAAGGTGGCAGTTTTTTTTGGTGGTTAACTGTCTGAAGAAGCACCTATAGTGCTGAAACATGATTTAATTTATGTTGCAGTTTATAAAATGTTTTTTCTTAAAATTGTTGATAAATATATATATATATATATATATATATATATATATATAGTTTATTTTGAAAGATTGTTTCGCAGTATAACAGTTCATCAATTTGGATAGCCATGCCATTGCATCAAACAAGGATCGAAACCCAACCAATTTTATATCAGACGGAGTCCCTCACACTTGCCATCAGTGGTGAAAGGAGATTTTTTTAACACCTTATATATACGAGATATAAACATTACCGGCTACCATAGTTTTCAATTTATAACGAAGGCTACGCTTTTGTAAAGCTTCCCATCTTTCTGCAGTTAATGTTTAGTCCTTTCTTCTGGCTTTCCTTCACCATCGGCTGTAGGATTTCTCGCAGTTTATTTTCTGTGTTTGCTATCAACAGTGTGTCATCTGTATATTTTATGTTGTCAAGATTGTGGAATCCTTACAGCCGCATCACGTTGAGACACCGATTGTCGTAAAATCATTGAAATTAAGCAACGTCGTGCCTGGTCAGTACCTTAGATGACTGTCCGCTTGTGAATACCAGGCGCTGTAAGCTTGGATGTGCGTATTATGTAATGGATAATGGTTCGTAGTTTTTAATCAGTGAGCCGAATTCCAATTCTCTTTAAGTTCATTATATTCACCACCTTTGAACATAGATTGCCAGTGAGCAAACACAGGTGATCCCATTATTAAATTAAGTAGACCATGTTGACCATTAAGGAAACTCATATATGGTAGCTAGTTTGTGTCTAATTGATCTACATTTCTATTCTATCCTATCCTCTATTACTATTCGGATCACCATTTCTAGTCTATCCTCTATACTATATGGACTGCTATTCTCTACTCTATCCACTATACTATTTCTCTGTTCGGATCACTATACGGATTACTGTTCGAGCAAGTATTGTCAAGCAAGTACTATTAGTCCGAGTGTTATTCGAAGTCATCTGAAAAAACTTCATCATTGCTCACATGTTCAGTCCATCATATTCTCAGCATCCTTCTGCAGAACCATATTTCTGTTGCGTCAAGTTTCTTCTTCAGCTGTGAGGAGATTGTCCAGTATTCACTGACATATATGAAGGCAGATATTATATAAGAGTTCATTACTCTTTTCTTTGTTTCTAATGAAATTTTTCTATTTCTTAATACTTTACTTAGCATTTGAATGGCATGTGTTGCACTTTCTGTCCTATGTTAGAATTAATTCCAGATATTAAATTGTTGTACTTGTTTGATTTTGTTATCCCCAATTTGTAATTTGCATGTTGGGTTATCCCTTTTGCTGACAACCATGCATTCTGTCTTCTTTCAGTTGATATTTAGTCCTTTCTTCTTGCTTTTCTTCACTACCTTTCGTAAGAGTTCTTGCAGTTTCTTTTCTGTGTTTGCTATCAACAGTGTGTCATCTGCATATTTGATGTTGTCAAGATTGTGGAATCCTTACGGCCACATCATGTTGAAACACCGATTCTCGTACGATCATTGATGTTAGGCAACGTCGCGCCTGGTCAGTACCTAGACGGTTGACCGCTTGTGAATACCAGGTGCTGCAATCTTGGATGTGAGTGTTGTGTAATAGATAATGGCTCTCAATTTTTAATCAGAGAGCCGAATCCCCATTACTGTTAGGTTCGTGGTATTCACTTATGTGCAAATACATTAGAGAAAGGAGTGCATCCATTTCTTTTCCCTCTTACGATGAGTCAAGTATTAAGACGTATATCGCTAAAATCATTATCTCCCCCGCCAAAAAAAAAATGTTACAATCTAATTTTTTTTTCCGCTTTAAATAACGTATAAAGTGTTGATAAGCCGTAGAAAACGTATCAACCAAGAAATCATATTGTGCAACTGTAAGCTTATATGTGCATGTAGCAAAATAGTTTTGCGGCCATATCACGTTCAAACATTAGTTCACATCCGTTCACTGAAGTTAAGCTACCGCGAACTTGGCCATTACCTAGATGGATGATCCCTTGGGAATATCAGGTGATGTAAGCTTGGATGTAACGGTAGTGTGTCATCTGAATATCTTTTTTGATAAGATTTTGCCCGCCAATAAAGAATCTTGGCAGAACTTATAGTTCTCTTTGGTTGAAGTTTTTCTGTTTCTTAATAATCTGCTTATATTTTAGAAGGCATCTTTCTCAACACCAATGTTTCTTAGGATTTCAGTGTTGCTCTCTCAGTCCTCTCTTAAAACATTTTCCCAAATCTTTAATATATATATATTTTTTTAAGTGTTTGGCCTTTGGTATCTCCGATTTGTAATTCGTAGTTTGGGTTCATCCTTTTCTAACTGCCATGCATTCTGTCTCGTACGTGATATTTAATCCTCTCTCCCATCTTCCCTTCACTACCATCTGTAGGAGTTTTTATAGCTTTCATTCTCTGTCTAGCATCAACACTGTGTCGTCTGCATATCTTATATTGTTAAAATTATGGCCGCCAATAATGAAACCTAGTAGGAATTCTAGTTATCTCAGGTGAAAATGTCTGGTCAGTTTAAAGGAAATAAATGAATTTAAAGTAACGGTATTATTTTTTATAAACTAAAATTTTGCAGCTAAACTTTATTAAGCGGGCCATTCCATTAGAACACTATGAAAATAGCCTCATACAAACATGGTCTTAATATTCAGGGGAAGGAATGTTTTTTTCTTCAAATGCAATAATCGAAGTAAGTCTTTTAGTGTGAGGTCGGAAGATCACTTAAACGGTCAATCGTTATCTTCTGTCTTCTTAATTCTTGTCCTCACTCCTTAAGAGTAGATTTTCTTATATTCTTTAACATTCAAGGACCTATTAAACCCTAGTTACTTTATTGCCTTACTTGTGTTGAAATGAATAAAGAAAACAATTGCAAATTTACTAAACGAAGTGGGTTTATAAATTCAGGGTGTTTGAAAGATTTCCTCAAAAGAGTTTTTTTTTCATTTTTTATCTGTTATGTACTTAGTTGAACCAACCTAGAAAATGTCTTACTAAATAAAGTCTACCACAAGGCAGGGATCTACGTATCTTTTATCTATTAAACCATCCCTTTAAAAAGGCGCGCTTTACTATTTCGGACATTGATGTCCCACCAGCATGGCTAGCTGCAATTAAAATGTTTATATTATGCCCATTTCTTGTTTAATTATTTCTTATAGTTTGCTAGTTGAAAAAATTAAACTCAATATCCAAACAAGCATTCAAGAATGAATATTCATTTTTTTTTTTTTTTTAAATAAAACAAATACTTTTAATCTCTTACGTAATAAAGAGAAAAGAAAGAAAGCAGTACTTGAGAGGAAAAAGGAACCTTTCGGACCTAACATATTTTAAAGCAAATATTTAATTCTACATCGTCAAGCGTAATATTTACAGACGATATATATATATATATATATATATATATATATATATATATATATATATATATATATATATATATATATTCAATATGTGTTCAACAAAGCGATGCAAAACAATTTCAAAATACAATATAGGATAGAACTTTATGAAAGATTTATACCATGAGAATAAATTAAATTTTACCTGTGGAAAAGGCACGCCTTTTGTTAACAGCAGAGTCCGAAGGTCTGCTTGTCTGAAAGGAGAAAAGTGTTCTTTCTACGACCAGCTGCGCAGGAGCGCTTCTCGTTCGGGTTGATGACACTGCACATTAAGGGAAATTTCTTCTTTTTTTTTTACGTATACTTGGACCCAGTGGAAACAGCGCGAGCAATAATTAAGCAGTGCTAAAAATAAGAATTAGATATTGTGAGGCATGGGCAGTGGAACGAGAAAAGTCTGCCCCCATAGATTAAATAAAGAGTTCAGTTCAAAATTCTCTGTACGTTACCCAGATCGATATTGGTCCAAACAACAAAGATATTAGTCGGATATTAGTCCAAATGTAACAAGTGTAAGTCATGGATAAGTCAGCATCCCAGAAA